TCCAGCCTGATATTGAATGTCCCCAGGGATGGGACCTCCACCACCCCTCTGGTCAACCTATTCCAGTGGTCCATCACCCTCAGATTGCAGAACTTCTCCTAACATCTAACCTAAATCTCCTCTTTTCTAGCTCAAAGCCATTCCCCCTCGTCCTGTCCCTCCAAACCCTTGTGAACAGCCCCTCCCCTGCTTTCTTCTCCTCTCATCCTCTGGTCAGCACTCGCAGAAGAATCTCACATCACAGCTCTCCTTTCCTCTCTGTTCTCCATCCAGGCAAGGACCAGGGACACCGCATCACCAAGAAATGTTCTGCAGACTGCCCCGAGACGAACGTGAACTTCGGGGTGGCAGCTTATTCCACCAAATGCTGCAGCACCTCCCTGTGCAACTTCAGTGGTGCCAACAGCATCAAGATCAGCTACGCCGCCATGTCCCTGGGCATCGTGGCCAGCTTGGTCTGTGTCATCAGGGCAGGATTGTGATGAGGGGTGGGAGAAGATGTGAACAAGCCAAGAATCCACAAGGTATTCCCCAGCCGAGAAACAAATATCCTCTGGCTAATGTCTCCAACAGGGTCTTTGCCACCCTGTTTTTTTCCAAGATGCTGTTTTGGGTCTTGCCCAAAAAATAGCACAGCAGCACCTCTCCTATTTTTTTTTTCCCCCCTGTATCATTTGTTGTTTTGTACTAATTTTCCCTGGGAAAGCTCTTTTGATAGCATGTCAGTGATGATTGTCAGGCACAATAAAAATTCATGTTATGCTAGAGTTTGTTTCCTCTATCCACATGAAGATCAACCTGAGAAAACAGCTCTTGGCACAAAGGGCTGTGGTTTGAATCTCTGCTTCACGTTGAATTCCTCTTTTTAGCACCTAGGAGTCTTCTCCTGGCTGCCTTTCTCAGCTGTATCCAGACACTCCAGATGTTCTGCCTGATCACTCGGTGCTCGAGAAGGGAGGTGTCAATCTGGAAAGGTCAAAGATGTTTGTGTTGTTCCTGTTGCAAGCAAGAGTGAGAATTGTTTTGTAAGGACTGGGGGGCTGCCAGGCATGGGGTGTGCTCCAGGCTGTGCTGTGAAGTTCTCCCGTGGTCTCTTCAGGGTGGGTGATTTCAGCTTTTAAAGCAGGTAAAGGGCCCACCCCAAGATGCTGGAGTTGTCCAAGATGAGGACTGTGCTGCTGGAATATGTCTTTGTGGAAAGGAGACCTCTGTGCCTGCTTGGAGAAGATGCTGCTCATGACTCCCCTGGAAGGAGAGGGGAGATGAGTAGAAAAAGCCTGGCAGAGGTGATGGATGTCTGATCTGATGGGGACATCTCTGATGGGGACATCTCTGCTCCTTGCCTTTACTCTGTCACTGTATTTCCAACCCTGAGGATGAAGGAGGTGGGGTGGAGATCCTCTGCAGCTTGTGCTGCAGCATGGTAGCTAAGGTAGGCAAAATCCACGTGCCCTTGGAGCTGGATGGTTCCCAGCTGAACCTTTTATAAGTGCAGTTCATTTATAATTCTGCATTTCAGAAGGGCTGGTATAGAAATGGCACCTGGGAAAAAAGCCCTAAAGCTCACAGCCCAATGGATTTGAGAAGAGTGTGGCCAGCAGGTCAAGGGAGGTTCTCCTCCCTCTCTGCTTTGCCCCAGTGCAGCCACAGCTTGAGTATTTGGTCCAATTCTGGGCTCCTCAGTTCAAAAGAGACAAAGAACTACTGGAAAGAGTCCAGCAGAGTATATGAAGCTGCTGAGGGGCTGGAGCATCTCTGTGCCAGGCCAGGCTGAGAGCCCTGGGGCTGCTGAGCTGGAGAGGAGAAGCCTCAGAGGGGATCTGAGCAGTGCTGAGCAAGAGCTCAAGGGCCCCGGGGGGCAAGAGGCTGGGGCCAGACTCTGCTCAGTGGTGCCCAGGGACAGGCCAAGGGGCAACGGGCACCAACTGGAACCCAGGAGGTGCCACCTGAGCAGGAGGAGAAACTTCTTTGGGGTGAGGGGCCCGAGCCTGGAGCAGCTGCCCAGAGAGGCTGTGGAGTCTCCAAACTGGAGAGATCCCAAACCCACCTGGATGTGACCCTGGACCTATGGTGATCCTGTGGGTGAGCTGCTGGAGCAGGGGGTGGGAGGAGATGATCCCCAGAGGTCCCTCCCAACCCCACCACACTGGGATTCTGGGATTCAGTGGAGTCCTGCTCCAGCAGCACTCAGGACAACCTGCAAGGTGTCCGTGTTTCTGTGCAACGGGGAGAGACTGCAGCATGGGCTGAAGGTTGTGAAGATCAAGAAGGAGAAAGGGTTGTGAAAATCAGATTAGGTTTAATCATCCTATAAAAAAATTAATTGAAATCCAAGCTGGGCTAACTGGACAACGATGGTGTGGTCGAAGTTATGTGCTGAGGGACCAACAGAAACTTGGGTTGGGTTTTTTCTCCACTTCTTTTTAACCAGTTTTCCCATCACTTCTATCTAATCATCCCGATAATTTCTGAAACAATTCTCAAAGCTTTTGGCCTCCTTGAAAACACACATTTACTAAAACCATCTGAATTTCACAGTTACTTTTAAATCTCAGCTTTTGTGTCACGGAAACGACACGTTTCCACCAGAACGAAGGCAATAAATTTACCCTTCTTACATAACAATTTCAACCAGATTTAAAACAAGATCAAACAAAACACTCCCCTTCCTGCTCCATTCAGCAACGGTATCAAGGGACATAAGTCCTTCATTCCAACCTCCACACCCAGTTAAATCTCTTTTTTCCAAGATCTTGATGTTTATATCCTCCAAATGTTTATAAACTGAGATATTCTCCTTTGCCTTCATCCCTCTGGAATAATTCTTCATCCCACAGAAATAATCTGTGTCCTTTCTACCTCCCTGGGTTCTTTTCAGTCTCTGTCACCCGGAACTGGTGGGGGATGAAGATAACATTAATATCAAGGGGACATATGGGGCCAGCTGGAAGAGTGTAGGACCATTGTGTAGACGTGGCACTTGGGGACATGGTTTAATGGTCGTGGTGGTGTTTGTGATGGTTGGACTTGGTGAACTTAGAGGTCTTTACCAACCTTAATGATTCTATGATCTAACGGGAAATCTCAACTGCCAGAAATCCTGCAATAATTTCTTGAAGAAATTCAGCCTTGCCATCTCAAAATCTCAGCAGCTTGCAGGAGACAAGAGATATTTTAGTTTTTGCTTGGGTGAGAGCACAAGGAAAGAGAAGAGAAAAAAAAAAGAGGTGCCTGGCTGAGCTGCTATTTCTGTTCCTGTTAATGGATGTGGAAACATATCTGAACGTGGGCTGCCTCTGCAGCACGACGTAGGGGCTGCAGAATGGCATCTCCTTGTGACTAGAGGCCCTTTTTCTGTGGTTCCCTCAAAGAGTCAGCAATAAAAGTTGATAAAGACTCAGGAAATCTCTTCTTGAGTGGGGAAAATAAATTTTTTCCAAGGGAAGAGAGGGTTGCACTGCCTGGCGTGGAGGGTGCCAGCTTGTGTTTTCTCCCTGCCTGGTGCCTTCCAATGGTCTTGGGCTTCTGAAGCCAAACAAAGCTCCTCCTTTGAGCTTTCTTGGTTAATTGCCACCTCTGTTCCCACTGAGTTTCGTGCTCTACCTATTGAGAAAGCACAAATTTCCTCACCTTAGTCATGCAGGTCTCCATACGAGCAATATTTGTATGTTCCCTTTGGAGGTGTTAGAAAGACTTACATCACCTCAAGAACCAGGCATGCCTTTTGGGTGAGATCATGCCTGTAGGTGGGTCACGTTGGAAACCCAAATATTTCACGGGAGATAGATAGAAATCTGAGGAACTCTGAAACAAAGGAAAAAGGGAAATAAACCAGATGGAGAGCAGCAAGGGGCAGAGCTGCTGGCAGAGGGTTGGGGCATGTGGGTGGCTCCTGCAGCTCTGAGTGTCATGTGAAAGGGATCCAGCTGGACCATTTCTGGGACTCTGCCTCCACCTCCATGACTAGATGGCAGAAAGACAACGGTGAGAGGAAAAAGAAACAACAGTCAGAATAAAGATGGGAAAGATTTATGCAGGGAGAGAGATGATAAAAAAAGGAGGAATAAAGAGCACCATATGGAAATGCAGAGTACTCCTCTTTGGCATTTCTTATCATTTTGGCTGGCTATAATTTCTTGTTTTTCTGAAGATTTAATGAGTGGAGATCCCTGATCAAGCAATCCCTCATTCTCCATGCTTTAATTGGTTTGATTTCTTCTCCCTGATCATTTATTTTTCAAATTTCTGGGGAAAAAAAAAAAATCACAATACGATGGGAGTGGCTGTTATTTCTATTTTATTTTTTTTTAATTTAAAGAGTCATTTTCATTGCCCAGTAGATTTCCTAATAACACTTTCCTTCCTATAAAATATTCCAGTTTTTTTTTTTAACAGAAGCACTTCTGATTCTGAACTGCTGTCTGAAAAAAGGCCCACAGAAAATGATGCCTCGTCCCCTGTGAAATGCAGTGGAAGGATACTGTGCTTCTGATCTAGCTGCACTGACAATCCTGGGAGGCATTTCGTAGCTGTTTCCATCTCAATTTCAATTTTAAATTCAATCCGTCTCCACAGGCACCAAAACAGTGCGTGAGGAGAGGATCCTGAAGGGTGTGGTCTGCTCAGAGATCCAACCTGGCCTGGAAAGAACATTCCACTTCTCATTTGGACGCTGTTTTGTTTGTGTGGTTTGCTTTTTCCCCACTTAGCCAGAATTAGAAACTGTCTCATAAATAACCTCAGATGAACAAGCTCCATTGTGAAACAACAAGATGGAAAAAAAAAAGAAGTGGGAGGAGAACGTCCGTGTGTTTAAATTTCCAACAAAGGTTGCTTCCACAGACAAGCACGGACACGTTGCTCTCCATTATCCATCATCTGACAGAGCAACCCTACAGCAATTATCCTACCATCAAAGGAAACACTGCAGAGGTATAAAACCTACCCTGGGTGAGCCCTGCTCGGTTTGGAGGCTGCAAGACCTCATGGATCCATCAAGGATGAAGGCTTCTCTTCTGGTCCTGCTCGTCGTAGCCCTGTGCACAGAGAGGGGTGAGTCTCTTTGCATCAGCAAGACCCTCTCCTCAGAGGTGGGGCACGTCTTGGATGTTGCAGGAGGAGAAGGGGATTTTTGAATGGTGAAGCTGAAAGGGTTGTTGGGCTCCGGAGAACTTTCCAGTCTTTAGGATGAGAAACCAGGGGATGGATTCCAAATAGAAGCTGGAAGAATGCTAAGGAGCTGAAGTGAGGGATGAGATACCCACCTCATTTGACTGGTGAAGTCCTAGCCCTTGGAGTGGCTCCATGTAGGCAGCTGAGAGCCCTTGGTGCAGCTCCATGAGCAGGGGGGTTAGTTGGGGGATATGCAGAGCTGGGCTGGGAGAGGTCAATATGTGGAAAAAAGCAACAGATTTGACAAAGAACTAACTACAGCCCCATTTAATCATTTCTTTTCACTTTGTTTATTGGTTGCCACTGCAAACCATCATCACCTAAATGGGTGGAGGGGCTCCCACCACAAGAAGATGCAATCCTAGCTCCCATCTCACAGCTCGTTACCTTGAGGTGTAACTTTGCTGATGTTGATCCCAGGTTTGGGGTGGAGACAGAGAGTCCCATTCTCACTCTGATAACTGGTTACATTTTGGGTGGGAGGAAGGATGCAGGTTGCCTCGTTGGGCTCTGCCAAGGACTGTGCCTCCAGGAGATGTCCTGTTTTGCACAGGAGTGAGTTATGGGTCAGGCAAAGATCAGAAGGTGCAGCCCTAAATATCTCTCTGACTATTCCAGGAGTATTGTTGAATCCTTCAGCTCCAGGGGGGCTTTTGCTTTATTGCAAACTGAATTTTTTTCTGAGGCTCTGCTGTAGGGTTTTAAATTCCTGGTGGTTTTGGTCCTGGTCTAGCAGAGCACTTAGGCTGAAAATGATCTTACTGTGGGAGTGGGACTTAGAGGCTTTAAACTGGGCATGTTCTGAAATCATCGTGCTCAGCAGGGTTGAGAAAACTGAGGGGGAAAAAAACCAAAAGGATTCTTTCCTGGGCTTATCAGCTGTAACCACATTTTTTCAAATAAGATGATGTTATGAGACAGTAAATTTACCAAAGGGGTCGGTGAAAATTACTCCACCCTCAGCACCACTTCACTCTGCATCCAGCCAGAAGCCTGGTTGCTGCTGTGGTTAATCCTGCCCCTGACTGATTTGAAAGGTGTAAATCCTTCACCTGCCAGCACTTGCTCTTGCTGATGCTTTCCATGTGTAAACTGTTCCTCTGGGTGAATTACTCCCACGAAAATCTTCCTTTGAGGAATGTTCTTTTCCAGCTGGAGCTGAGGTCTTGGTGGGTCTTGAGACCTCCAAAGGCAGCCTGGGTTTGCATCCCCTTCTCCACTCAACCCTTCTTGCAGCAGATACCTCAACAGATGTGACAAAAAAGCAGAAGTGATTTTCAGTAGCACGAGCAAAATTGTTCTGCCTGACTTCAGGGTCTCAACAGACCACGTTAGGAGCCCAGAGTCCTCTGCAGTGACTTATGAGGGAGAGAGAAACCTCCTGAGCAGAGACAGAGCTTGGCTAAGTCACCCTGTCAGGGCACTTGCCCTAGAAGGCTCCCAGGGCAACTGGACTCTGAAATCAGCAGCTCTGGGAGGCTGGGATGAAACAGGACTTGGGCACGCAACAAGCTCCATGGATTCAGCAAGTTTCTCTTGGAATGGGCTTGATTAAAGGAATCTAACGAGCTACGTGTCTGGAAAACCCAGTTTGGGGACTCTGCTTTAGTGCAGGGTTATTCTGGGAGGAAAGGGTGGAGCAGAAAGGGGCTTGTCTGGGGTTTGCACAAGAAAAGAGAATGAAGCCACACCACTAGATGATCTAAAGGAGGGTCCCAGACTTGGATAAAAAGAAAATTAGCTTGCAAGGTCAGGACCATGCTAATGCAAGAGCCATCCAGGGCAGTTGGGAGGTTCTGGAGAGGAAATGACCAAGGCAGGAAGCAAATTGCAACAGCCTTGGTGTCAAGTCAGAGCGAGACGGGCGCCTGGTCGGAGGGTTTTGAAACCATAAGGGTGCTGAGCACGGGGACAGAGGGAGGTGGGATCTGAGTCACTGCAAGCCCAGCTGCCTGGCCTGGGTGTCCTCTGCTAGCTGCTCTTCAGTGAGAAGCAACAGAGGGAGAGGAGGAATTGTGAGGAGTACGGATCACAAGTGCTGGGTGGCCATGGGAAGGCAGAAGGGGCTGTTAGCTGGAGTGGGGAGAGAAGACAGTTTTCACAGAGCCAGAGAAGGAAGAACAGAGCCCTACAAGGCAATTTTGGTGGCTTCTTATGAAATACAGTGACGCTGGTCACTTGGAGTCATGGGCTGAGCCGGGGCCAGGTCTGGGCCAGGAGGAGCAGAGAGCATTTGGGCCAGGTGACCTTGTTCAGGGTCAAACAAGGGCAGCAATGAGGTTGGGATGGTACTGACAAAGGTGCTACAACAGCAAAGAAGCTTGGGCAAGGAGAACAAGAGGGAGGGAGATGAAGAGCAAGGAAGGCAAAGTTAAAGGGCAAGATGGTAGAAGAAGATGGAGATTAAGTGGCCATCGGTGGGGATACCCTGGAAATGAGGAGAACATCTAATCCTGGTGGGAGGCATTACTGCAGGGGTGCTTGATCCACATAGATGAGTGGGAAATCTCCCTTATCATGAAAAGAAACCTTCTCCAAGTATTTTTTATTGCTGGGGATGACTTCTCCAGCTTACCTGAGCTCCATCTGTTTTCATTCATTCCTGTTAGCACAGAGCTGTGCAGCTGCACAGTGCTGCAGACGTAGACATGGTGTAGAGTTAGGCAGTCACCACCCATGGAAGGCTGTCAAAAGGAGTCTACTGCAGCCAAAGAGGTGTTTTGCTGAGCCCTGTCTTCTACAGGTCCAAGATTGCCTCCTGATACGGGAGAGCTTTGAAGAGGAGCCAGCCAAATGCAAGCATCCATCTGCCCAGCAACCACTGAGAAGCAGATTTAGGTCACTTTGTCCTTCATTTGAGATCATAGCATGGTTTGGGCTGGCAGGGACCTTTCAAGGTCATCTAGTCCAAACCCTCTGCAATTATCAGGGAGATCTGCAACTAGATAACATTGCTCAGAGCCCCAACCAACCTGACTTTGATTGTTTCCAGGGATGGGCATCAACCACCTCTCTGGGCAACCTGGGCCAAGGTTTCACCACCCTCAGGGTGAAACTTTTCTTCCTCAGATCTAGCCTAAATCTAGGTTGAAACCATCACCCCTTGTCCTGTCACAACAGGCCCTGCTAAAAAGACTGTCCCCATATTTCCTGTAGGCCCTATTTAAGCATTGAAAGGTCCCAAGAAGCTCTGCCTGGAGCCTTCTCTTCTCCAGGCTGAACAACCCCAACCTCCCAGCAGGGGGGTTCCCATCCTTGGATCATTTTTGTGGCCTCCTCTGGCCCTGATCCATGTCCATGTCTTTCTTGTGCTGAGGATTCCAGAGCTGGACACAATGCTCCAGCTGAGGTCTCTCCAGAGCAGAGCAGAAGGACACATCTGCTGGTCACAAGATACTTTCTGGAGGCAGGCAGCAAAATATTCATGCCTAGGGTGGCCGAGGGGGTTACTCTCCCTTTTTTTGTACTTGAAAATAGCTTTTTTAAAGCATTCCCTGTTGATCTGTGTGCTCTGAGATAGGATGTGGAGGCCAGGACTCTTCCAGATGACTGGAAGAGGATGTGAAAGGGTGTAGACAGGAACTGAGTGTTCTCTTTCCATACAAGAATTAGTGGCCATCAACCAAGGCTTGGAGGAGACAGGTTGGAAGAAACCACCAGAGCTTCATGCTGCAAATGGTAGATTTGGGGTGTTCTTTCCAAAAGCCTGCTGGAGATGCCAGGTATTTAAATGGATTCAAGGAAGACTTGGGTAAGCATCCAGAAGAATACTTGAGGGATGCTAAGTGAAGAAACCACCATCAGTGTCACGAATCTGAGCTCAAAGTAATTTGGGTCCAGGAGGGTCGCTGGGACCAAGTTTCAAACAGCCAGGAGGTCATCTGCCCATGGCAGACCCTCGCTGTGGACCAGCACCACCACTTTTGTCCTTCTGGAGGTGACTGATGGGTGTCGTGTCCTTCTTTTGCAGCTTCTTCTTTGACCTGCTTCACGTGCAAAGATGCAACTTCCAACATACACTGCCTCAGCACCACTACATGCTCTGACCACGAGAAATACTGTCTCACCACCTATTCCACCACGGGATTCGGTGAGTGGGAAGCTTTTCTAAGGCTCTGATGACGAGATGGGGTTGGCTGCAGAACCTCCTCCCACCATGAGGTGTGGTGGAAGAATTGATGAGGCTCACAGCACACGGAGAGCAAATCTTGTGGCAGGTGGGAACTCAACGTTGCCTCTCTCTGTTGCAATAGAACAACACTACACTGTTGATTAAACATACCCAGGAGCCCGAGACATTAGAGGAGAGAATTTCTCAACAGAAACCCTTTGTCTCATCTCCAAGCTCACAGATATATGCTCATGAGGTGGTGGAATTGGAAAGGGGCAACATCAAGACATGGTGCTGATGCCACCTCGCAACCTCGCACTGGCCAAATCCATTAGATCTCCAAATTCCTGCCCTGGGTTGCACTCAGCTGGCCCTGAAAACAGCAAAGGAGTCCTCAGGCTTGGAGATGGTCCCCATAGGTCACATCTAGACAATGAATGATGCAGTGTGATGGGAAAACCAACATTAAGTACAGAACAACGCATCCCCCATCAGATACGGCACAGCCAATCCATCATCAAAGCCTCTAATAATGATCCCAGATGAATTCCTTGACTTCTCTCCCTATTTTCTCTCTACCCCACTCCAGGCGACGAGCGCAACCAACGTATCAACAAGAAATGTTCTGCCTACTGCCCAACAATTGACCTGAACATTGGCGTAGCGGGCGTGGCCACCAGCTGCTGTGAGACCTCCTTGTGCAACATCAGTGGTGCCAGCAGCGTGAAAACCAGCTACACCGTGATAGCTCTGGGTGCCTTGGCCAGTCTGGCTTGCATCCTCAGGATGGGCTACTAAAGGGGCTGGAGAAAGAGAGGAGCTGCTTGGCTTGGCTTTGCAAGGGACCCAACTCTCCTCCGTAGAGTCCAAACGCCGCCCCGTTCCTCCTACCTTGGCAGGTCACGTCCCACCAGCGAAGAGTTTTGCCCTTCCCGTGCTCTGATGGCCACACAGAAGAGCACAACCTCACCTCAAAGCGGGGTTTGGAAGGGCAGAGCACGATGTGGAGTCTTACACGTGCAGAAGGGCACCACATTGTCACCCCCTCTCCTCCCCTGGGCCTTGATAACGTTTATTTTTAATCCCCTTTATTTCGTCCCCGCCGTTCGGTGCCTTTTTCCTCTTTATACCATTTTCTCCCCTGTGCCATTTTGCTCCGAGGAAGCTTTTCAGAATACAGTTGTTAAACAGAAGCTGGGCACAATAAAGTGTGATCTTATTCCATCCTGTGACCGTGTGGCGTGGTGCATGGAGCGTCGTGGCCGGGTGAATCCACGTCAGCAGCCCCAAAAGCAGAGACATTACTCTGCAAATCTCATCCAAATAATGCTGAAATAGATTGCAGTTGTTTTACATTCACTTCAGGAAGCCTGTCCCCAGATTTTCTCTTTCCTGATTGGGCAAAAAAATGTCATTTTTGTGACCCTGTTTCAAAGTCAACCGTATTTTAATCGACTTGCTTCCAATTTCTCTTCTGGGTCAGCTGGCTGGAAGGAAACGGCCTCTGAGCTCTCCAGCAGGCAAACAGAGGGGACAAGGCAGGACCCAACGTGAAAGGGTCTTGAGCATTAAGTTTTCTCTAGACTGATTCAAGGTCTTCCAGTGGAAATTGAGTTATAAGTGTTACGGATTATTCTGGAAGGGGAGAAAAGTATCTGGCTTGGTGCTTAAAGGAAAATCAGGAAAGAGAGCTGGTTTCTACCATGTAGCTCCTGGAGTCTGGAGATTTTAGCATCAACTATAATAAAATATTAGCTTTGAAAAGAAATCTTTTAAGTTTCCAGTCAAGTTTCCTATCGAGGTTAAACTTGAAGTAACTCGTTCCTCTCCAGTAACCTTCCTTGTGGATAATTTTGGCTAGGACTGAGAGATTGACTCACTCAAACCCTTCCAAAGTGAGTCACCAGGAGGCTGAAAGGCTTTCTCCAGAGCTGAGGAAGCTCTCTCCACTAGGATTAGCCCAACAAAGCTCTCCCAGGGTAATTAGCTGGGTGCAGCTCACCGAGCTGGTTTTCTCTCTGTAGACTCATGGCACAGCTACACGCTTTGCTCACTCTGCCAGCAGCAGAGGGACAAAGAGCACTCAGAAGGAGATGGATCTTCAGAACAGGTTTGCAGAGAAAATGTGGTCTCATGGCTCCAGCTCACCCTTCTTTCCTTCACTCCTTTTCCCCTTCTTGTCCACCCTTCCTCCCACCCACATCCACCCCCCAGCTATTCATTCCCTGGCTGTTTTCTCTCCCAGCTTTCCTTGTTGGCTTCTTCATCCAGTCTTGGCTTCACCTCCCACCTCTATTTTCTTGCTAAAGCCTCAGCTTGTATTTCATTCCTTGGTGGAAACACAAGGTTGGCCAAGGATACTCTGTCTTTAGCCATGAGACTCTCCATGGTCCTCACAGTTTCTATGGCACCATCATCCCCCGGATGAGCTGGCTCCAATCTTCTGTCCAATCTACTCTCTCCACCTTTCTTCTCCTCCTGCCAGATTTAGAGATATCCAAGTGTCACACACATCTGAACACCTCCAATGAGCCAAGAACTCTTCTGTGGTCTTGCATGGTCGTATTCTGCCCTGCACCCAGATCATAAAGTGGTAATGATGGAACTGTCTGATGTACTCTTCAGCCTGTGCTATCCACAGGTTCAGGATTTCTCATGGAAAGGCCAAGCTGGGGCTTGTACAGCCCCAGGTCTTGTCCTGCTGAGCTTATGAACATAGATCTGCTCTTAGTACCCAGGTTTAAAACAAAGTGATGTCTTGAGTTACTTGAACTTGATGGGTGTCTCCATTTTGGGTTGGGAGGGAACCTGGTACATGAAGGAAGGGTGGATGAAAGCACAGAATCATAGATTTCTTTGGGTTGGAAGACACCTTTAAAGGTCATCTAGTCCAACTCCCCTGAAGTGAGCAGGGACATCTTCAACTAGAGCAGGTGGCTCAGACCCCTGTCCAACCTGACCTGGAATATTTCCAAGAATGGGGCTTCTACCACCGCTCTGGGCAACCTGGGCCACTCTTTCAGTACTCTCATTGTAAAAAATGTCCTCCTCTCTAGTCTAAATCTCCCCTCTTTTAGTTTAAAAACATCACCCCTTGTCCTGTCCCAACAGGCCCTGATAAAATGTTTGTCCCCATCTTTTTTATAAGCCCCTTTGAATACTGAAAGGCCACAGCAAGATCTCCCTGAGGTGTGTGGTAGATCCTGCTTCTGATGCCATGGAGCATCTTCATGGTTTTCTTATGACTATTGCATGGAGAAGTTATGAACAGCACTGGGAAGCCAGAAATCCTACCCCTAAGAGACCAGCTCCATCCGTGGGCCTCAGTTTCCCTGGTTTCTCCATGATCTCACAGCTTTTGCATTCCCTACTGCCCAGCAACACAATCGATGCATATCTCAAGTTATATAAGAAGGTCCTTATCTGGAGGTGGGAACAGCAATTGCTCTGAGGCACAGGATGACCTAAAACCATAAAAGCTCCTTCAGTGGAGTGAACCCTCCCTTGGCAATGGGTGTTGTGTACGAGGAGACTCCTCTCTGCTTACTCTTCCTGAGAAATCCTGATGTGACATCTCCCAGGAAAATTCTGCTGCCTAACTCCACATCCCTCCACCCAGGGTTTATTTGTTGGCTCCTACGGTTGCCTACTCCTTGGAGGAGAGCAGCAAGGTGCTCTGCAGAGACTTCTGGGAGGCCTGGAGGGCTCTCAAGAAGAAGATGAGTGGCTGACTCAAATAGTTGGGATTGCTCCTGGGAGGCAGCTGGCTCTCTTTGGGAGGATTATCTAAGAGCTCAGTTTTCCATGCCCTGAGTCACTGACCCAGGACCTGAATCAGCCCAGGGGCCCCTGCTCTGCCAAAATTGAGCATCTGAGAGGAGGTGGTTTAACTTTGACCCATCTTTCCCTCACTCAGGGCTCTGTCACCAGTGATTTTGAAGGACCTATGCTGCCTTCTGCTCTCCTCAAATAATTTGGCTCTTTTCCCCCCCAAGATGAAATTGTTTCCCTTTCTCTCTGCTTATTTGTCCAGGTCTGATTAACACCCAGTGAATCAATGACAAAACAAGGGACAAGGAGGATGCAAATGATCAAAGCAAGGTCTTCAGTGGGTCTAAAATGATTCTGGAAGCCATGGAAAGTGATAAAAACATCCCTTTTTTTTCAAAATTAACTGCTGCTTTCCTGCCAAATAATCAATTCACGGCTCTGTTTTCATAGAATCATAGAATGTTGGGGGTTGGAAAGGAACTTTAAAGGTCCAGCTCTAATTTTTAGGTCCACTTTATTTCTCCTGAATGGGTAGTGATGAGATATTACTCTACAGACGTGACTCAGCTTCGTTGCTTTATTTTTGCAGTCTTCTTCAACCTTACTTGGTATCCTTGGCTTGCCTTCTGCAGGGCCTCCTTCCAGGGTGAAGGTTGCAGTGCTGGGCAGCAGGAGACACCCTCCCCACAGTGGCTGCTTGAAGTGTTGCCTCTGACCACGCTGAGTTTCACCATCTGTCCTCTTGAGGAGGAAGGAATCACTGCAACCCACTCACAGTGCTGCAAAATTACTGCTCTCCAGATGCTGAGAACATTCCTCCAGCGTGTCCAGGTACTAACAAAGCCATTACCATCCTGGGAACAGCTCCCAGATAACTGTTTGATGTAGAAGAGCTTGTTTCTTACTCCAATTTCTCTCCTCAGTACCATTTTGTTGGCAGTGCTGAGGATATTTTGGCCTTACCCTTCTTTTGAAGCTGACTGGCACTTGAGCCAACATCCTACTGCAGAGAGGTTCATGTAGAAACAAATGGACCTTGGCAAAGTCAACATCAGGGAACATCTGGCAAAAATAAGAGGATTCCTTCATTCATGGAGGAAAAGAGAAGGAATATATGTAGCAGAAGTCTATAGATAATTGATAGATGAAAAAAAGGGAAAAAAATGGTGGTTTCCTTTTCCCCTACTTGCAAAATATCCATGAGAGGACACACCCACCACTTAGGAAGAACAACTTGTTTCCCTCACACTTGGGCAGTAAAAAGAATTCCCCTCTGCAAAGCAGAAGGCTCCATTTGATGATCATCACCACCACGTCCCCTGCTGACCTCTCAAACCTCCAGAAACAAGAGTGGGAATGTCTGTTGGATGGTTGGACTGGATGACCTTAGAGGTGTTTCCCAACCTTAATGATCCTAGGATCTTATTTTGCCATCGGGCTTGAACAACTCTGGAGTTCCCCACTTGATGATGTCATTCCAGGAGCAGGTTAGGAGGGCCTGAAAAAGTGTCAGAAGCTCACGTGGAGATGGAAATCATCCAGTGTTGGAATGATTCATACCAAAAAGAGATAAAAATACCCTACTGATGGCTCCCCCTAAGGAGCTGCCTGGGAAATTATTTCAGAATTGGCAACAAAAGGGGGGATTTGATGATTTTTCTTCTTTTTCACATTCTACTACCTGCTCTCCAGGACTAATCTCACTTCAGAAGCTCCGTTGAGATGGCAGCTTGAGCTCTTCCAAGATGCATCTTGTATTAGGGTCTATTTCCCAGGATGTCAGAAACAGATTTTAAGACATTCAGAGGAGAACAACCCGGAGGAATAGAAGAAAAAGGATTGATTTCAGAGAAAATTGAAAAAGAGGCAGTTTGAGAGATGGCTTTTTTTTTATAAAGTGGAGCAGCAATTCCAGGATGTCTGTTGGTGATTTGGTAAATGGAGGTCTGATTTCCAAAAACCTGGCCGTGGAGGAAGGCAGAACCTCTAAAGGAACCCTGAAACAGCAGCAAAACTTCATTAAATAAAAAGCAGATAAGTCATTTGAGAATTACAACCAAGAAGGGAACAAGCAGGGGGATTAACCAGAAGCAATGGAAAATGGAGAAAGAAATGAAGACTGACATGAAAATTTGAGGGAAATCTGCCTAACTTAGAGCCAGCTCATTTCATTTAGTGTAAAATACACTGATTTTATTGGAGGTGAAACCAGCACAGGCCAGCTCAGAGCCCCAGCTTCTGCTGCTGTGGAATGATTAAAGAAAATGAGTGGTTTGAACTCTGCTACATCCCATGCCAGCTATCCAAAGGGTTTAGAAAAATGCTCTGCTAGGACCATCTCCTGTGCTTCCAGGCTTTGCTCTTCCACCAGTGCAGATGGGAGGAAGAAAGCTGGAGGAGAAGACAGCAGATCCTCATTTCCCATTGCTCATATGACTGGAAGAGCAAGAAATGTGTTGCCAAAAGGACTATCCCCCAAGGTGCCAGCCTGCTCCACGTTCTCCAGCGTGAAGAACTCCCACATGCACCTTACACACCCTTGGGTTGATTTCATGACCATCCGTGAGCCACCTGGAACCTGTAAAACTGCTGCTGTCCCAAAGGTATATAACCTGCCCTCCAAACAGCTTCCCAGTCCAGCTGGGAAGATCTGGTGGAGATGAAGACTGCTTTTGTCACCTTGTTGGCTGCTGTCCTGTGCGTGGAGCAAGGTGAGCCTCTAATTATGCTCCTCGTTAAGATAAGGCTCCTAGAGAAATTGGGGAAAACTTCGGGTGGCCAAAAATTTAGAGAGCTGAACTTTGCAGGGTTGTGACGCCGGATCCAGGCTGCCACCAGCTTCCTTTTAGCACCTTGATTAATGGATTAATGCAGAAATAAGGCTCTGATAAAGTAATTCTTCTTTCTGGTGGTAGAGCTCTAACTGGGCAGTGCTGGATGCCAAGTTATATCCATACCATGCTTGGTGGGATCTTCACGAATGATGCAGGCTGAAAGTTCCATAAAGCATCAGAAAACGTTAATTTTTTTTAATTCATAGCAGTTTTTGGGTCTTTTATAGACTTTTTTATACCTCTGCTTCCACGTGGTTTGCCACATGTCTTGCTCCCTAGGAAAGGCACTGGGGAGGATCTTCACAAATGATGCAGGCTGGAAGTTCCAGAAAGCCTCAGAAAACTTTAATCTTTTTTTAATCCATAGCAGTTTTGGGGTCTTTTATAGACTTTTTTTATACCTCTGCTTCCACGTGGTTTGCCACATGTCTTGCTCCCTAGGAAAGGCACTGGGGAGAAGTTTTAGAGATTAAATCAGAGGTGAAAGAGCTCCTCTGTGCCTGGGTCATGTCAAAGGCATCCTTCTCCCAAAGGGAAGTCTGAGGGACCTTCCATGTGTGTCCTCCTTCTGGGACCAACACACACGTGTTGCCACATCTCTACTTGCACGTAGGAATAACGACCAGAGTTCCAAGAATTCCCCCACACCTGCTGGTTTCCCAGAAACCATGATACAGATCTAGAAGGGGTTGAGAAAGAGGCAACTAATTGATTCTTGCTCTCTGCTGTATCAACCCCTCTACTCCTACATTTTTTTTTGGACAGATGGTTCTGCAGCGTGTCTGGAAGTTCAGAAGCTTCAGCCAGTTTTAGGGCAAGGGGTGTTCAGCTCTAAAAGAAGCAACAACTCTGTGCCCATCATTCCAGAAGGCAGTGACACAACAGGGACAGAGAGGAGTAATTCCCAAAGGAGACGTCCTCGGTGTCACCCAGGATGAAGTGGGGAAGCCAACAGAGAAGCAGGGCTCTGGTTCCACATACTCGTAGTAGGCTGATGACATTTTTTCTATTGGCACCAGCTTCCAAATGGATTTAAGGACAAACTTTTGTACAGAACCTTTCTGAAGCCCAGTTTAGGTTGGAGAAAACCCATAACTCTAATATGAAGCTTTCCCATTCAAGAGCAAGAGATTGCAGCTTTCTGGCTGAATAAAGAGACAAAGGAAATCTTGAAGACAACTATTATTTGATCCTTCTCACGTATCTGAGGTCCCATTCACCACCCTCAGAAGCAACTTCTAATCAAAACTATTGATTTCTCAGCCCACCAAAGGTCTGTTGCTCTTTGCATCCACAAACTCACTGCTACAGCCAGATTATACCCTGGAGAAATCTTCAAAGGTCGTGATCCTTTTCCTTGCTCTAGTGCTGGACCAAACCAGGCAGATATTGGTCTAACACGCTCTTGAAAGGCTTCAACAAAGAAGATTCCACAGCCTGGAATTGCTGAGACTCTTCACCTTTTAGAAAGTTAGTCTTAATATTGCTTGACATCTGTTTTTGCACAGTTCTCCTGAGTTTTCACCAGAGGTGGTGTAGAACAGTCGATCACTTCCTTCTTTGGTGCTTCTTTTTTCCTTGCATGAAAAGTTCCTTTGTCTTTCCTCAGCAATTTCTCATTTTTAATAAGCAAATTAAATGCTTCCAAGCTTCTTGACAAGGTCATATTTTCAAGAACTCTGTCCATTCCTCTTCCCTCTCTCCTGGTCTCTCTCCAAATGCTCTGCATACTTTTTGAAGTGCCAGATATGGATTTGGTCATGGGTGTTCCAGCTGAGCTTTTGCCACAGTGGAAAGGCCACTTTGCATATCTTGCACATGACATTGCTGCTGGTGTTCCCTTGGCTGACGTTTGTTGTTGACACAGTTGACTCCTGCTGTTTACACTACCACCCATAATTGTCACTCAGCCAACTGCTGTTCCTCATCCTACGTTTCACAGAACCCCAGCGTGGTGGGGGGGTTGGAAAGGACCTCTGGAGATCATCTCCTCCAACCTCCCTGCTCCAGAAGGGTCAACCTAGAGCAGCATGGGCTCCAGGCAGGTTTGGGATCTCTCTAGAGAAGGAGACTCCACCACCTCTTTGGGCAGCCTGCTCCAGGCTCTGGCAACCTCTTGCTCAGTTTCCTGGGTTCAAGTTCATACCCATTGCCCCATCTCTTGTCACCACTGAGAAGAGTTTGGCTCCATCCCCTTAGATACTGCTCAGCAGTGATCAGATCCCTTCTCAGTCTTCTCTTCTCCAGCCTAACCAGCCCCAGGGCTCCTCAGCACCATGCTCCTGTCCTCTCAGCATCTTTGTAGCCCTTGAGCCACTTCATTTTTATCTTGGTGTAATACATTTCTCTTTACTGGACTTAGAACTCTACTTACAGTTTGTTTTCAGTTATTTTGTCCTTGTCATCATCTGAAAGTGTGATGTCCATCCTCTGTCCCATCCATACTGTCACTGGTGATGAGGCTGTACAGACCCAATTCCACAGCAGAGCTCTGGAGAACCTGATGGGTTCCATTGCTCCGATGGGTTTGACCAACAACCCTCCCAGCCTCCTCTGCTGCTTTGCACCCATTCTGTTCCATTTTCATCAGCTTGTGTCTCCTGGGCTGGCTCATCAAAATGTCCTTCAGGACTGGGCCAAAAATTCAGGTCTTTACCCTGTGCACAAAGCTCCAACTTTTTTAGTGAGGAACACAGCAAAAAAAAGCTACACAGTGTTGTGACCCTCTCAGCAGCAACAGCTGGTAACATTTTCCTTCCCTTCCAATCCCTTCCAGCCGGCCTTTGGTCTCTCTGACCTACAATTGCCCTTCCACTTTCTTACTGCCAACTTCTTATCGGGCAAAAATGCACTCCCAGGAACGTGTCCTCTAATACTGACAGGCTGGCCCCAGACTTAAAGAGTATTCTGGGCTACGTTTCCTTCCCTTTCCAATAATATCTGTGTTTTAAAAGTATCTCGTGCCCTCTCCTACACACAAACCCCACACACTTTGGGGGATTTTGCAAACTCAGAACCCAACCACCGCCCTAAAACCTATAAACCGATTCATCCGTCGAGCTGGGGAGTGCTCTGCAGATGCTTTGATGTGGTTTCTCATCCAGAATGTGTTTTTAGTCTTCTTCCTTTTTTTCTTATGACTTCCCAGTGGCTTTCCAGAGTTCTGTCCTATCACCTTGAGGATTTGGGGTCAAGTGTGTGCATCCTTCACAGATAAATCAGCTCCTCACTGCCTGCTCCTCCTGACAGTCATCTCCTGCACATTGCAGATGTACAAATTATCCCCCCAAACCTGCACTTACCATTTAAACCATACTTCTGGTTAAGGCTTCCCATTTATTCTCTACCTTACAAAGAAGTTTGACAGAGCATCTGACTACTCCCACCAGACTTCCTAGGACTGAGGTTAGGCCGGTTCAGTTAATGACATTCCACCACAAGAAAGGCTATGGGATGGTAGTCTCCAAGCCAGAGGAAAGAGAAGTAGGACACTGGGCATCGTCCACCTCCTCAAAATGCTCCAGGCATCCTCAAATTCTCCTTGGCAAGCTCTGCTTAGCTCTGCAGTAATAGGCAATTCACATGGCAGAGCTCTCAGGATGGAGGATCTATTGCTCAGCCATAATCTCCATCATAAAAGACCCTAAATCCTTGAATTCCACTCACATCTGCTGCTGCCTGAGATTGCAAACAGATCAATAACGCTTCACAGTCTGAGACACATGAGGCAGAGAGGGATTTAACAGTGCTGCCACAGGTCAAGGGATAAAGTCACTGCTCATTCACACACGAGCCTTCACCAGGCTATAACTCCAAAAAATGGAGAGATCTGGATCGTGGATATCACGGTTTCTAAACCATGTAATGTGTTTTTTCTTATTATTTTTTTTTCTTTTATCCCCAGCTTACCCTCTTCTGTGCTACGTGTGCCAAGAGGAAGAGTCCAACAAGAACTGTTTGACCATTTCCATGTGTGCCAAGGAAGACAAACACTGCGTGACAATCCGGAGCAACGTTGGGACGAGTACGTTGCTGAGCAACATCTTGTTTGTCCTGTGGAAGAGCAAGGCCAAGAATGGGCTTTGAGCAAAGTCAGGGCCACGTAGGGCAACAAGAGCCCCCGATCACCAAGAGTTAGGAAACATCAACCCTCTTCTTTGCTGTTGTGGTCACTGCAGTGTCCATGGGTACTTGATATTGTTACCAGGAGCTGGGGAAATGCTGAAGGTCCATAAAGCAGCAGAAGGTGAACTCAAAGCTGGGGTTGTGAGCACTTCTTCGTGGTTAGCTCCCCCCAGCTTTCTGCATCCAGCTCCAGCTAGGTCTTCCTAGGGCAATAGTCACCTCCCAGGGTTGTTTTGGGGCAAAACTGCACCATGATTGCCTCCCTCTGCCACACACAAGCCTTCAGGTCTGCCCTTGGGGCTCTGCCACCCTCAGACACCTCCATGGGATTAGTTAGCCTGAAGAAGAGAAGGTTCTGGGGAGAACTTACAGCAGCCTTCCAGCTCTTGTTGGGAGAGGGACCACAGGAAGGATGGGGAGGGACTCCTGATCAGGAGCTGTAGTGATAGGATGGGAGGTAATGGTTGTAAGCTAAAGCAGAGGAGATTTAGGTTAGATGTAAGAAGAAGTTCTTCATTATGAGGGTGGTGAGACACTGGAACAGGTTGCCCAGAGGAGCTGTGGATGCCCCATCCCTGGAAGTGTTCGAAGCCAGGCTGGACAGGGCTTTGAGCAACCTGCTCTAGTCTCTTGGGTCTCTTTCAACCCAAACCATTCTATGATTCCATGATTCCATGTGCTTTCAGACCCAGACTCAGGTCATACAACACATTCTCCTTGGTTTTATGCTGTAGGGCAACTGTCCTGGTGAGCAGTGGCCCATCCTGAGCATTGCTTCAGGCAGCTTGAACCAGAAACCACCCACACGTGCTAATTCCACTCTAGGGAGGGATGAGACATGGAGCTCAGAGAAGACCAACATCACGGGACACATTTGTCCTGGGAACAAGTGCCTGCCCTTCTTTTATTCATCAGTGAAGATTTAACCATGAAAACACTTTAACAACTATTCTTACAGTCTCCTCTTTTTTTTTTCCCCCCCTTCTGTTCCACACCAGAGCCCGACAAGCCCAAATATGTCCTCTCTAAGATGTGTTCTCCAACGTGTCCAGCAACGAGCCAGCAACAAAACCAAACCCACCAGAGGGTGTTTTGCTGTGAGAAACCTTTATGCAACGTGAATGGAGTCAGCAGCAAGCAAAGCAGCTACGGGGTGATGTCCCTGGGGGTCCTGGCCAGCATCACTTACCCCTTTGCACGTGGACAGTGATGGGGGAGGAGAAGCTCCCCCCTGATGGCATTGAAATAAAAGTGTGATGCTCTGGGGTGCTGACTGTTTTCAGAGCTGTGCTTTGCAGCTGAGCTTCCCCTTGGGGTTTTTGAGTCTAAAGAAGCCTGGTGCTGAACTCCCAACGATTTCCTGAGCCTGCTGCAATCCTACCTCTCCCCAGATGCTCGAGTCACCTAAGAAAACCCATAAACCACAGCCCTTCTGATAGATTTGGGCTGCAAATTGTTACAGCCCCGGAGAGAACCTTGAAGACAATTTTATCTCTGAGTTTCAAAGCCCTGTGAGGAGCAACAACCCCCCCTGCCTGATCCACAGGTAGTAGCTCAATGGGGAGGTCACAGAGGGCACGTTCAGTGTCTTCTCTTCACAGTAACTTGGTGATCACACATCAGCCAAGCAGTCCGTAAAGCAAGTAGAGGTGAAGTTTATTTGGGGAGTATTTTGGGTGTTCCTCCAGCCTCAGTGAGGAATAATTTCTGTCTCCTCTGGCTCTTTGCTCTCAGAGGGACGTCACATTTTGAGATGAGCATCCCCAAGCTCCAACGTATTGGCTGAGTCCGGGGAAAAGGCAGAGAGGAGCAAACGTGGCTGGGAGAGGACAGGCAGGAGCAGCAGAGAGGGAGAAGGGAAGGGGTGAGGGACAGCACAAGGAGCACTGTGCTGGGAATTCCCTTCACGTTGCCTCCTCGGGGACCTGGTCCAGCTGGACAATGTCTCCATATCTATTTCCCTCTTTTTCTGCTGGGCCAAACCAACCCGAGAGCTATTGGCAACCCCAGTCATTTAGAGATCGTGAGATGTTTTCTACAAAACCATGTTCCTGGCGTAGGAACGCTGGATTGTGTTGGGCTTTGTTTGGTTTTGCACTCCAGGCTCTCTGCTCCCTCCTCTCCCTGAGAGAACTGCAGCTGAGAGGAGACAGAAAGGCTCTGTAGGAGGCCTGGGGGTGTCTACAGAGAAGAAGAAGGGCAGGCAGCCAGAGATGAACACAAACAGCCCAGAGCTTGGTCATAAGCCCTGCTGCAAGCTCATTTTTCTGGGAAAAAGCTAAAAAACAAAAGAGTTGGCAGCCTCACTAGCTCAGCTGTGTTCTGGGGGGAGCCAGAGCTCAGCCAGACAATCCAAGGGTTTGTTATATTCTTGGATGAGATGTTGTGTTTGATGGTGGAACGAGTTCTTCAGTTTGTCTGAAGCATTGCTTGGGAAGGCTGCTGTGTTTTGGTTGCACATGTGGAAGGATGAATGGTTTGGAGATGTTTCACAGGGCCTGGATCACAAAGCAAGAGGACGATCAGTCCAAGGTGCTCCATCCACTTAATGTGTTGGGCTGAGAACTCTGAAGCCTGGTGCTTGGTTTTAATCTTTATTTTAGTGTACAGGGGGGGACCAAAGTGAAGGAAGGAGGTGACACCATGATGCTGGGCAGAGACAAGAAGCTGTTGATGCCCATTGATCTGGTAAACCATGGCCAGGGGTGACAGATGTCAAGAGGGACAAACGTGAACTTGCCAGCAGAAGGTGCTGCTCATTTTCTCTCACCAAAAACAACCACAAAAGGGAAGGAAAGCTGTGATGGAGAAGTCTCCTTGGAGTCTTCTTCTCTGGAGAGTTTCCCAACCCACCTGGACACGATCCTGTGCAACCTGCTCTAGCTGAACCTGCTTTAGTAGGAAGGTTGGACGAGGTGATCTCCAGAGGTCTCTTCCAACCCCTACTACACCTTGGTTCTGTGAGAAGGGGAAGGGAAAGACTTTTCAAACCACAAGGAGGGAACAGATGTCCAGCTGCTAAGGGCAGGGGCTGGCAGCACTGGCAGGGGCTGTGGTGCCCATGCTGCATCCTGATGCCATGAGCACATGCTCCATGAATACTCCACAGAGAAGGAAGACACTTCTTCCCTGAAATACCTTGAGTGCCTTCAAAAACTCGAGGAAATTTGGGCTCTGGGCCAAAGCCATTGCTGTCTTTCCCACCAGGCAAGTTAGCACAGGAAAGGGGAAGCAGAAGGAGCAATTTATAGCTCAGCCAGTTGCACTGAAGGTGAGAAGACAAAGATCTGGTGAGTGGGACCAGCTGGTGGGGAGGAAATGAGTCCAAGGTTGAGATAAGTCCAGTGAGGTTGGTGGAGTTTGAGGGATGAGGATGAGGAGCAAAGGAAGTGGAGCAAACCTCGTCCAGAGCTTTCTTTAGAGCAGTAGAACAGGAGTTGCTGCAGGGTCTGGAGGGGGAGGTGGTTCACTCAGAGCCCAGCTGAGCCCAGCAAGCTCTGCTGAGGACTCCCTTTTGTGGCCTTCTACTTCTGTGGTGGAAGAACTCTTTTAAAAAGAGGTTTTTTTTGGTTTTGCTTGGTTTTGCTTATAGGGACTTCCTCTTACTGGCAGATTCCTGCAGGCACCTTGCTCCCTTGCAGCCCCTTTTTGCCTTCCAAACCCTTCTCCTCCTCGTCACCATGCCAGCTGAAGGCTACGTGTTGATAGCACCCAAAAGGATGTTCCTTCCAACAAGCTAACATGGACAGTGGGGTTCCTAGGTCTCCTCCTCTACAAATTTAGAAGAACCATTTCTTTTCTTGACATTTCTGGATGCCAGAGCACCTGACCATAGCAGGATTATGCAGATAGATCCTTTGCAGGTCAAGTGCCTTGAGGTTTCTGCTGTATTTAAACAGATTTCCTAGTGGCATTGACAGTCATCCCACGACCCACCCGGTGCCTGGACTCAAAGCCCACAGGAGTTGAAGGTCTCTGAACAGTGAGCACAGGGGTAGGATTTATGAATGGACTTTGTCAGAGCTGATGCTCCGAGTGGGAAATCACTGAAACTCTTCCAAATAAGAAAGTGGGACAGTTAGAACAACCTTTCTTGGTTGGGGGTGGTACTTGGCTTCCCTGGGCTGGAGGAAGGTGCAGGAAGAAGACCAAGGTTCCTTTGGCTCAGGAGTTTAGCCAGACAGCCAAGTCTCCTCTTCCTCCATGGGTGGAATCAGTCACATTTACCTTCTCAAATGCAGCTGCAGTGTAACAGTTGGTTGATCTTGAGGCATAGCTGGGCTTGCTGGGAGAAGATGATGCTTGGAGGTGGAACTTCAATGTAGACTCGGTTTTGCAATCTCACAACGTTGAGTTGCACACCCAGATCCAGGAGATGTGGGGTTTTTCTTTGCTTCCAGCCTGTAGTACGTGCAAAGTGAAAAGGAGAAGAGAGGTGTGGAGACACAAACCACATCTAACACAAGAGCAACAGCCGTTCTGCTGCTGCAGATGTTCATGAGATGGACAGGGATTCGCCAACGAACACATCAAAAGTGAGAACATCAAAAGGAAGCAGGGCACAGGTCTAAGCAGAGAGGAGGTGGTGTCCTCAATCTGCCTATGCACAGCAGTGAGGGATGTCAGCCAAACCAAGGGGTGTCTGGGAACAGAGGTGATGGGAAAAGAAATCTTTGGCAGGCACCACAGCTACCAAGCCCAGCCTGTTTCACCTGCTCCTGTTCCTTCACTAGAGGGGAATCTGGGTATTTCAGAAGACTGGACCACCAGTTGGACCAGACTGGGCCAATTGGACCACCAGATTGGACCACCAATGCAGCATCCATCTTTATAAAGGGGATAGGGGAGACTCTGAGGACAAACAGAGCAGTCAATCCAGACTTCAGGCTTGGAAAAAACCACTGAAATAAATCATAGAATCCCAGAATTGTTTAGGTTTGGAGGAGACCTTTAAGATCATGGAGTCCAACCATTACCTCAGCACTTCCAGGTCCCCACTGAGCCATGTCCCTCAGCACCACATCTACATGTCTTTTAAATCCCTGCAGGGTTGGGGGCTCCACCATTGCCTTGGGCAACCTGCACCAGCTCTTGAGAACTCTTCTGGGGAAGAAATTTGAGCTAAAGCCCAGCCTAAACCTCCCCTGGTGGAACTTGAGGCCAGTTCCTCTTGTCCTGTCCCTTGTCCCTGGGGAGCAGAGCCCGCCCCCCCCCTGGCTCCAGGCTCCTGTCAGGAGCTGTGCAGAGCCAGAAGGTCTCCCCTGAGCCTCCTTTGCTCCAGGCTCAGCACCCCCAGCTCCCTCAGCTGCTCCTCCCCACACTTGGGCTCTAGACCCTTCCCCAGCAGCTCCGTTGCCCTTCTTTGGACATCCTCCAGCCCCTCAATGTCCTTCTCACAGTCATCAAACAATTTTCAGCGGTGTATCAAGGAGATGAGGATGAAAAGCAAGAGCTCTGTGACAGATGAGGACTTTTCCCACCTCTGACAAGATGGCAAAATCTCTAGTTAGGGTAAAAGTGGCACCTGTCACATCTCAGTGTTGATAAAGCTTTTGGCACCATCTCACAGGAGAGCCTCATAAGCAAAACTATGAAAACACAGCCTGGGTAGAATGATGAGGAAATAACTGTCACCAGCTTGTTGTCCAAGTGGGATGATCTATCAGACAGGGCCCTCTGTGGCTCTCCTGGGCTCTGGCACCATGCGATGGTTTAATCACCACTTTGAGGGATGGGTTAGAGAACGAGTTCATTGAGCTTGCAGGTGACCAACTTGAGAGAATCTGCAAACAGGAGAATCTCCTCCTGTGGCTCTCCTGGGCTCTGGCACGATGCGATGGTTTAATCACTACTTTGAGGGATGGGTTAGAGAAGGAGTTCATTGAGCTTGCAGGTGACCAGCTTGAGAGAATCTGCAAACAGGAGAATCCTGGGGGGCTCTGAGAGATGGAAGTGAGAGCCTGAGAATGAGGATCTCACTGAGGAAGGACAAACCCAAAGCTCTGCAGTCCATGTGGCCCCATCCTCTGCACAACCACGGCGTGAGGAAATCTCCCTTGCAGCAATCTGGCAGAAAATAGAAGTTGTGGTGGGTGTTCTAACAGATCACAGGGTTTAACGTGCCAGATTTAGGGGAAAAAAAATGATGAAAAAGAAGTTGGCTTTGTGAGAACTTTTCAATCCACTGAAGTCTTCCACGTTGTGCTGGGA